CTTCTGAAATCTAAGAAACGAGCTGAGTTGCAGAAAGGTAAAATGGATGACACTCTGGAAAGCTGAGTCAGAGAGCATCTGTGAGCCCAGCCCTATGTGGTATAAGGAAGGGTGAAGACTTACAGACGGGTTAGAAGACACTAGGTAACTCAGGACGAACCGGGAATGCAAAGCACCTGATATGTCCATGTACTCTTAGAAATATACTTCATTCCTTCTCCCAACAGAGATTAATATGTTTGCTGTGCCAGCATATTACTGTGCTGTGCCTAGTACACTTACACTGTACTCGGGGTACAGTATAAGACATCGTCACAGTCTTTTCGTTTCTGGAAACATGGACTAATGAGAGATGTGTATTCTGGATCCAACTGTATACGCTCAGGAGAAGAGGAGATAAGCATGGCCTTGGATGACCACTCAGAAGGCTTTCTGGAAGTGGGAACGTGCCAGGCAAAATAAGAAAGACACGACGTGAAATAAATGGCTCCACAGCACCAGCGGAAAGAGCTTGGACGTCATAGCAAAAGGACTTGGTTTAAAGCTGACTCTCTGAGCCTTTGTTTCTCATCAGTAAAATGGGAAAGATAATGATGGTTTAGGAGATTACATGAGTTAAGGAGGAACTGTGCCTGGTTCAAAGTGGGGTCTCCTAAAATGACTGGTGGGGGGTGGGGCAGGAGGCAGGGGTGATAAGAGTCTGGGAGATAATTTCTGGTGTGGCTTCCTTCCCAGCCTTGATCATACTCCTCCTCCTTTCCACACCCCACTCCCCATGGCCAGGGTTAGGGTAGGTAGAATCCAGGCCAATACCCACATCCTGGTGGCCTGTTTGCCCTGAGCTTCCTGAGGTATCAGTACAGCAGGCTTCTATGGGCCCAGTGAATTTCCACAAGCCAGGAGGGCCCCACTTGGAGGCTCACACCTCTGGAACTGACGACGTTGGCCAAGTTCAGGCCGTGGGAGGGGAAGGCAAGTGCTGTGTCGGCTGGATTTGATGGGGAAATGGGCCTCCAGGGTGGAAAAGGAAAATAAAGAGAAGGATTCTTGCTGTAGCTTGCTCACAGAGAGCTGCAGGTCTCAAGGCCTCCCCCTCCCACGTCCCCACCTCAGGTTTTTGCTGGAGAATTAGCTTCAGGATCTAACCTAGCAAAGACACGCTTCCTCCAGGAAGCCTGCTTGTATGGCCCAGTCCCTTGTGCAATCTCATTCCTCTAATCCTGTCTATTTGAGTGTTGCTTCACCCTCATAGGCCAAGTACAGTAAGTCTTCACTTAGCATCTTTGATAGGTTCTTGGAAACTACGACTTTCAGCAAAATGACATATAATGAAATCAGTTTTACCACAGGCTAGTTGATATAAATAAAGGTTCTTAGGCATATTTCTGGTCACAAAAATATCACCAAACTTCTAAATAAATTTCCAAAATGCTTCTAATATTAAACATTGACATAAATGTGAGCTATCCCTACATTTAAGAAAGATTAATAAAAACAAGCAAGATCATTCTTTTCTAACTTAGTTACTCCAGTTCAGGGTCAAGGGTGGCTGGAGCCTATCCCCAGCAGCTCAGGGCACAAGGTGGAAAAACACCCTGGATGGGACACCACTCCACTGAAGGGCACTCACATTCACACACACACACTCACTCACTCACTCACTCACTCATACTGGGACAATTTAGACATGCTAATTAACCTAATATGTACATCTTTGGGGTGTGGCAGGAAACCCAAGTCCCTGTAGAAAACCCACACAGATATGGGGAGAGCATGCAAACGCCACACGGACAGTGGCCCCGGCTGGGAATTAATGTTTTCTCTCATCAACATTACAACAAAATGGCATTGAAGGGAACATTATTCTCTCATCAACATTACAACAAAATGGCATCGAAGGGAACATTATTCAAGGACCTGCTATATTTTTGCAGCATATTATTTGGTACAGTGCATTTTCAACTCAGATTCTCAGCTTCCACCAGAAAAGGCAAAAAGGAAAGGAGAAAATACACATTTACTGAGACCTTGCTGTATACCTCGCTCTGGGCTGAGTACCTCTCATGTGTACTCATGCAACAGCCCTCCGAGGTAAGGACCAGTATCTCCATTCCACAGATAAAGAGCCTAAGGCTCAAGGAAGTGGACCTTCCAGAACTGGAACCCTAATCTGCTGGACGCTGAAGCCTATTTAGCTCCTCTGTACCAAAATAAGATCTTCTCTGGAAAAAAAATATACATTCTGTGGTGAAATCAGTTTGGGAAATGCTGCTTGGTAAGTAAGCATCCCTGTTAAGTCTCCCAAGCCACAGTAGGATATTCAAGGTTCTGAGAGGTCCTGCCAAGGAGAGTCCTGGCTGACTTGACTTACCCCAGCACTCTCCAAGGGACACCTCAGTTACAGCTGCTGACAGCCCCCAAGACCTCTGGGCATACACTTTGGGATATGCCATCTACAACACGAAGATTGCCAAAGCGGGAGTGCTCAGAAACAAGCTCTCCGAGGAACACAAGGTGGGCCATGAAGGCTGAATCAGACATGAATGGGATGGTAGGAAGAAGGGCATATTCGGTGGAGGTGAGTGTGCTGAGAAGTCTAGACAGGGAGACAACAGCCCCAGCTGAAACCCAATATCCTAAGTACGTGAACCATTACCATCTTATTTGACCACAAAAGTCTGTCTTTAAAGCTAGAAGCACAGAGTGACTCTCGCCATGCCATCAGGCACTGCAGGCAGGAGTTGAAATGAAGAAGTCTGTCTCTGTTGCCGAAAAACGGACAAAATGCAGCATGGAGGACTTTAGTTAGGCTTTCATTAGGCCATCAGTAGAGGATTCTAACCAGTCCCCCATAAACCACATGCATTATCCTACCATCACCCATTTGCTCATGTGCCCTGCCCTGAAATGTCCTTTCTGCACATCTTCATCTTACCAGCATCCACTATGCAGTGCATCCAACAAGAAGACTGAAAACTCCATCCTCCCTGCCCTCCCTGGAATCAGGAAGTCCCGACCCATTTCAGCTCCCAAAGGAGATGCTGGAGACTTACGATATCAACGTCAGGACTTGGAATCTCAGTACTAAGATTAGGCAAAAAGTGGTATTGCAGAATTCTGCCCAGGACTGAGCACGCCTGGAGTGCTGTACACTGACAGGCCACCACGTGGTGACAAACGTAGCTGTGTCCAAGTGTTGATAGCTCAGATAGGAGACTTCTGGAAACTGGCAGATGAGACACAAGTGAAGGAAAGGGGTGGGGTGACATTTATAGATGGGAGTACAATCAAAAATTTTAAGTATATCTCACAACTGTCTAGAGGGATGCTTTTTAAAAAGTGGTTCCCGAACCAGCAGCATTAGCATCACTTGGGAAGAAGTGAGAAATGCAGATTTTTTGCATGCCACCCCTCCCAGACCAACTGAGTCAGAAACTCAGAGTGGAGCCCAGTCAAGCATTTTAATAAGACCTCCTGGTGATTCTGAAGCATGCTAAAGTTTGAGAACCACTGACCTGGAATTATTCCTGTTAAAATAATTGCTCCTCAGGAGAAACAGTGTTAACCTCCCCTGTTGTGGACAGTGGCTCAGAGAGGACATCTGTTCTATCCTAGGACTCACAGCAGATAAGCTGTAGAGATGGGGCTCCCAACCCCAGTCATTCTGAAGCTTCCTGGCAGGCGGTATGGACAGAGTTGGGTGCCCAAGGTACTAAGAGAGCTGCTTGCCTTGGCCCCAGAGAAAGCCTTAATTGGCTCATTAATAGCTGTGATTAGAGAGAATGGAGAAGCCTTTATCTTTGAAGTGCCCTGGCTATGCTAGAAGCTCATGCAGGGAGCTTGCTGTGACTAATTAAAGCTGAGCTGTGTTTCCTGTCAAGAGCCCAGAGTGTGAAGGGCTTCAAACGAGAAAAATTAAGCTTCCATTTCCATTCAGGGGCAATGGATAGAACCAGTAGAATGAAGATGAGAAGAAGGGGCCTTTTCAAGGGGCAGGGCCCCTGGGCTGGAGGTAGACTCTGGGTCTCTTCTGAAGTATGTGACCAAAGAGATACTTCTGGCCTTGAGGGGGTCTGAGGGCTCGTACATTCCCACAGTGGTAACCCTAGGTCTGACATCATCTTCATTCTTATTTTTTAAGATTTTTGAGCATATCAGCTTTTGGCCTCTGATTGCACCTGCTCAGGTGTGTGAATTAGAAGTAGTGAAGGAGGCCTGGGTGACAGCCCTAGTGGTAACAGGATCTTAGGGCTGTGAAGGTTCTAGTCCCAAAAGTCATATTCACTGCAGGCTCCCAGGGCTATAACTACGACTCCTACTTTATCAGCAGCCTTTCCTCGAGTCCTTACTAAGTGCCAGAGACAGGGCTGAGTGTTTTATATTAACTTATATAACACCCTCA